TCTAAATGTAAATGGAGGCCCGTGTATGTGTGCTCTGACGAGCGAGAGAACGAAAGATAAATGTTCAACTGAACCCAAAATATACCCTTTTTAAGCAATAACCCAATGCTGTCGAAGTCAAAGCTTTGAATTATTTTTTTGTGTGCATGTGTGCGTATTTTTCCACGAAAAATCAGCAAAATCATTTCCCTTAATTTATTGCGCGCGAACAAAGAAAAGTTCAACCGAACTTAGTTGAATAAGAGTTAAAATTTACCAGTTTCGTGCTTGTTTTTCATTCAGATATTCAGAACAAAAAAAGTTTTTCACGCTCATGTTACAACACAAACGCATGCATTGAGTAATTATTTCATTGAATTTCAGTATCTCGAATTTGTCATCATCGAATAAAGACGAATGAATGTCGATGAATACAACAACGATCGGGAACAATGTCAAAATATATATATATATATATCTTGAAACACATAAATGCTCTTATGGGCTTTTTCTTCGTCATTCTTATCAAGTACACGTCAGAAACTTACACCATTTTAAAATCAGGTTTTTGAAGGGCTTCTATGGAAAAAGACAAAAAGCGGAAACGAACGCACTCACCAAAATCGTTTTAAAACTAATAACATTTCTCTTCGATGTCGCCATTGTTGATGATGCACACTCGAACACATAAAACCATGATGTAAATTTTAACATCATTTTGTTTGCGCGCTTATTTTAAAGTGTAAAATTAAGAAAAATCAACCAACACAAATATATGGCAATGGGATTAGGGGAAAAAGCACTGCAATATCATACGGCTGACATTTTTTGTTCAACGAATCTCAATCGCAATACACACTGCACATAATCAGAAACAATGATGACACAGGTGTAGCGTGCGCAATGAAAATGGAACACAGGCAAATGAAAGGGAATGAGTTAAGTGTGATACGAACAAGAAAAAAAGAACAAGAAAAATAATCACACGTGTAACACATCAACCATCACTCATGGGGTGGCAATCGCTATTGCTACAAACTGTTCTAACTCTTCGTTTTTACTGATGGGCGCTACCATATTGCAAAAAATATTTATTGTTTTTGAATGAGTACGTTTTAATATTCAATCTAGTTCAGTGTATGATGTAAATCGTGTTCAGTGCATGAAAAAAAAAAAGAAGAAGCAGTGTTATCAACAAAAAATAGTACAAGAATGGTACACTTGAAAGAGAGTTAAGTGCATGCATAACTTACGTACACACTTTGATATAGTAAAATAAAATCGAGTGTAGCCGATGCGCGTACTTGAGGGAAAAATGTAATGTCAAGCAAGGAATCGAACACGCAGAGACGCGATAAAAAAGCGTCTTCAAGATATTTACACAAGCTCAAAGGATCACAAAAAAGCAAAGTACACACACACACAGAGAGAGAGAGAGGAAGAGTGAATAAAGGAATGCAATAGCAGGAAACAGGCAGACTCACGCACATTCACACGCACGCCGACAGTCGAACAAATTATTCATAACGACATAAATGAGAGAAGAAAGATAGCGCAAGTTAAGGCTTTTGCACGACATTGAACTTAATTGTTAAACCTCATGAAAGTATTTCCGTTTAACATTTCCGGAGACTTCAAAACTAAATTAAAAATTAAAATCGGATGTTGAATCGGTAGCAAAGTGGTAAAAATTTTCTTCACTCAATTTCATTTGTGCGATTGTCACTGTGTGTTTGTCTTTGCGCGTACGTGTTTTTTTCATTCTTGTTTAATCGTCCTCCTATCTTCGTTAAACATCATCTCTTTTGACTATTGAATAGAATGCACCACAGAATATAAAGTCACCATATTAAATCTATTTTGATTCGGCAATTTACTGCCGAAAAAAGGAAACTGGAAACACGTTTCGGTAAATAAATGCTCGCTGATGAAAAGTATTTGATGACTTTCTTCCTTCTTGACGAACGATGATAACAAAATCAACGACACAAATATCATAACGATTTGCGTATGTCCTGTATGAAACGTACACAAATGATGAGAGGAAAGCACAGTAATCGAACGGAAAAAAGGGTCGTGTGTTCGTATTTCCGGTTGGTTTTGCTGGTAGGTAAATTGCGGTTACACATTACAGTTATTGATGTAAATAGTAGGAACGGACATACGAGATACCATCCAGAAAAGCATTTATGGTAATCGAATGCGTTATATGCATACAACACGACCAATTCGACGATTAAATTGGCAACGAAATGAACTTAAAGACATAGACAGAGAGTGAAAAAGGGATCGTCAAGTGAAATTGAGTACTTGCATATATGGGAAGGAACTGTTTAAAAAATATTGTGTGATGACAAGAATAACAATGATGAAGACATTTTCTCATACCCCCCTTGGTACAAACACTTGGGCTAATTTCAACAGCAATTTCATCTTGGGTTGTATGTATGTGTGTAGTTCTTGTTTTTTTTTTTTTCTTCTCACAATCTATCTCTTTCACTTTACTGTTTGTTCACAGTTCAATGAGCCATCTTATCGTATCGCATCGAACAATTAACAGAGTTAAGCATAATTGACATCGATAATAAGCCAGTGAAAGTTGTTAAGAATTAAGTGTTGTAATTATCTCGAAATGTTTGCGCTTTTCATGTTTGTTATTATTGTTTTTCTCATTCGCTTGGTGCTCGATAAAATTGAAAATGTTTCCACGGATACATCAACGCTTTAACTTCCATTGTCCTTACTTATGTTTGCAAATAAAAACCACTTCAAATGCAAATGTTAAACAAATAAATCCAAGAGCGGTCCCATCGACTGCGAATGAAAAAAAATAATATAAATAACAAAAAGCACTCGACAACATTCGCAGCATCACCATTTGACATCATCATCATACAGGTGACGGTTTGAGAGTGTTATACGTCTCTTTCTCTGTCTAAAAAAACGCACTGTGTTGCATACAAACACTAACGATCTGCGGTTTAATTCATCAATGTGGCTCAAAACATGGATGAGCATGTTTTTCATTAAATTGTGTGTAACCATTTATAACAATAACAGAAAAAAAAACCGACCACAAATTAAATATCACCATTTGAGAAGAGAGCGTGTGTTTTATTTCGAAACCGACTAACCGTATGATTATTTAATCTCTTTGGCTTTTTCCATTTTTAGTCGGATGACAACAATTTAGAACGCCCTTTCTCTTCATTCCTCTTTGTATCAATATTCAGGTGATGTCATTAAATGTCAGGCTTTTCTCTGTTCTACTTTTTTTTCGAGTTAGTTGATTCGAATGTTGTGTAAAAACTATGTTGACCAGCAACCACTAATCTCTATTTAATTCAAATAATTTTCACACGAATTAGTAATTAATGTACAATTAAACGAAAGTTCTTCGATAAGTTAACGCAATTGAAGTTTGTTTGTGTTCATTTGTGTGAACGAAAGTGAATAAACCAAAAAAAAGTGGCTAAACGAAAATAAACGCTTTTATGTAATCAATTGAAGTGTTGCTGACTGAGTCTAAAAACAGACTTACACCCAACATTTTGTTGAATTAAATCAAGCGTAAACAGACACACTTTTACATTCACGCAAACATCTATAGTCATATCAAAATTGGAGACCCATCGATTCGAATGCCTTCAAGATTAACATCATCATCATACGATGGAATTTTGTTGAATCCAATTAAGTTTTTTGACACACAAAAAAAAGTGACGTGAAATTAACCAGATAAATAGAAATGCAAATATACCGCTCACGCGCAAATTTAATCAACCAATAATAATAATTGTAATAACAAAAAAAAAAAATAAACCATTCACATGCAATACACACACACACAGACAATTAATCTGAATAAAGACACTTGCGATAAAGTGTTGCGTTTTTTTTTGTTCTCAGTTAAATAAACCCATTGCGCTTTGGCAACGTTTCATCAAGAAGAACATCTTATCATAATATTATTATTGCCATTTGTTGCTTTGCGCCTCAATTGACCCCCACACAAACTAACAGACCTCCGCCTCCCCCCCCCACGTTCCAACCCCGACATGAGTTGATTTTGGTTTCGCTCTTTTGAAATGCAAAAAAAATAAAAGCCAAAATGGCACTTTGAAAAGCCTCTTTGGTCTGTTTACTTCGATTTCAAGTGGAAATCCACTTGACGCTCAGCGAATAATAGATTCAATGAATACGTTCATTCTCTTTTTCTCTTACTCTTTCTTTGCATTTCTTAAAATTGTTGTTCGGTTTCATTGGAGCTTTTAATGCTGGTGAAGACAAAAATGTCTCATAAAACATGTGCGAAACGCTTCAAGATGATGTTGAAAAGGAGGAAACAGCCAACAACAACAATAATTACTTTTGCGATTCGCCTTTCCTGTCCTATTCGATGAGACATTTCGATAGGACATTTCGTGTGATGGTGTAAACTTCTTGAGCCAAGTGGCTGTATGCATTGAAACTGATTTTCATCTTCGTCATTGTATATGCGATTGATGTTCGATGATGAAAAGAAATGAAAGTTCGTCCACTTGGCGCTTTAAAAAGAAGATGCCTTTTTTCTATCAACCAATTCGTAACAAACATAGTCACATGCAGGGTCAATGCATCGACTGATTGACAGTATTAAAAATGTCTGCAAATATATTTTCTCATCTTTGGAATTAACCAGACGAATGATTCGAATGTCGTTTATTCTCGAAAAGTTTTATGACATAGATAAATTGGCATTTGAGAGAATAAAATGCCACTTGACAGATGAATTTCACCCCATTCAACAAAAAAAAAAATTGTACAAATAATGTGGAAAAGCTCCAATTTTTTTTTGTTCTCTAACCAGTCGTTTACCATCAATAAAGTAGCCAATTTTTATATTGAATGATAAATGTCGATACACAATACTAAATGAAAATAAAGCGCATCACATTGACACAACGAACAAAAAGTAATGACAAAAGGAAAACAACAAGAAAATAAATGAAATGGTTTTGCTTTCAGTTTTATATACTTACGCTGCATCTACGGTATTCTGTTGTCTTGATGTGAACGATGGTAGGAATATGGCAATGGTGATTGTAAGCCATAGTATTAAACTTTTCGGCAGTAGATCCATTGTGTGTATGTGTTGTATTGTTTTGGTTGTTTTCCTCTTTTTGTTTAAACTTGTTTTTTTTTTTTGAAGTTTTAGTTTATGTTTCGATTTTGTTTTTATTATTATTTAAATTTAAGTTTAATTTTAGATATAAATTTTATTATACGCGCGCGCTTCCTAAATTTATTTCGTTTTTCGAATTAGTTAAATAATTTCTATTGAGTATTTTTAAGTGTGTGTTCTTTGTGTGTGTGGTTTAAGTAGTTTCTGGTTATTCACTACAGCTACTTCATCGTATAGTAGTATTTCATTGGAAACGAACCGCATATGAGAGAATTTATATACTTTTTGTATGTATATAGGTGGAGGGTAATTTCGTGAATATAACTCGTGAGTCTAAGGATGAAATCGTTTGATTTTTTCCGTCAAATTTGTTACACCTCTCTGATTGAATATAATTCCTTGTATTTTAAGCTTCGACTTCTGTTTTTTTATGTTTAAATTTTCGATATTTTCATTATTTTATGCGAGTGCGAGTTAGTTTCTTTTTTTATTCGAAAAAAAGAAGAAAAAAAAACAACGTTAAATTAGAATGAATGTAATACGCTCCGAGAGATGATGTATTCTTTAGAATGTGTAATGCGCTATCATTTACATGTGATCGCGTGTGAATTTTCTTTTATTCGTATTTTCGTGTATTCGCTATTATTCTCTTTTCTTTTATTTGTTTATTTTTTCTTCTACTTCTTCTTATATTATTTGCGCTTAGAAGACAAGACAATGACGTGAAGGAGTCAGTGGTGTTAAAAAATTACACTTTCCGTGTTTTTGTTTTTCTTCAGCTGGTTTTTCAGTTCCTTTTGCAACTATAACGATATTCCATATCAGTCGGTCAAAAGCACAACAACGATATGTGAAACGTTCGACAGCAGTTTGATTCTCGCGTTATGTACTTTGGTATGTGTACTTTGGTAATGCGCAAATTGAATATTCGTTCTGGAATTTTGCATGCATTTGATGTTGTTTGGTGTATTTATATATATGTGTGTGTTTGTTTTTTCTTGTGTGTTTTGTCTCGTCGTCCTCTCTGGCTGCTCTCAGTGCATGCTACTGTGTCTTGTTTAATTAATTTTTTTTGATGTTGCTGTTGTTACTGTTTACCTTTTATTCCGTCGAGTAATGTAATAATGGTATGTATATAAGTGTGTGTGGGTGCCTGTATAATGGACAATAACTTAGCAATGTATATGCGTTGTCATCCCAATTTCATAAGAAACTGGCTCATACCGGTTAATATGATTTTATATATTAATATGTAAACCATATTAATCATTGGCGTGGCAACGGAATGTCGACATTTTTGCAAAATCTCTGTGTCGGATGGAACATGTTTATCTCTCTTTTCTCTTCTGCTTCGTTCTGGTAAAATGAGAGAGAGAGGTGAAAAGCGCAAATACAACCGTGTACACCAGCAATTCTGATCCCCGTGTGTTGTCGTATGAGTGAGTTGGTTTATGAGAAAATGATGACACACCGTTGATTTATTGGTGTATGTATTCGATTACTTTCTCGTTCAATTCAGTCCAGTCCAGTCCAGTCCAGAAAACTTTGATGTTAACCACACACACTCTTCGTCTCTCTTACTTTCGAATTAAATGGGCTATGTTTTTAATTCTATCTCTCTCTCTCTCCCTCTCTTCCGCACCAAACGTACAACGAATAATAAATATTTATTGCGTAATGATTGCGTGCATTCCAAAGAAATTCCACGATTTCGATGCACTTTTTGTTAGCGCTCTTTCTCTATGTGTGTGTGTTGAAATACCTCTTGAACAAAGCAACAAGCACACACCACAATCAAACGATCTTCAGCAATTTGTTGTTCAGTTGTTTTGTCATAATTTTGTCCGCGATTTCTCTAGCTTGGACTGAATTACGTTGTTTTTGTTGTTTTGTTCGTTCGAGCTTTCGTTTTCGTACTGATTTCGCCGAGTTGCCGATAACCGTGTATGTATATATATATAGATTGATGTGCTATTTCACAAGTATTGAGTGGATGCGTATTCGTTGCGCGTCTAAGTCGCATATACACTTATTTGGTACAGGACACTTGTCCAATAACACAATCACTGTATCGTGCAAACACTATCGAGAAATATACATAAACTTGTTTTCTTTTTTTTTTTTTGTTATTTTACTTTTTACACAGTATTTTCTTTTTCTCCTTCTCTGGTTTTCGCCAATCGTCGCTTTATCGTTTTTTCTCTTTCACTCTTGTCGCGTCTATTGCATAAAATAAATCGTGTGTATTTGTATTTTATCCAGATTTCGATATTGTTTTGCCTTTCAAGAGTCTGATATATTTATTGTTGTTGTTCGTATCGAATATCTTGGTCTCTGTTTTGCTCAATGCTTATTGTTTATGATTTTTTTTTTATTATTTCAATTTAAAACAAAAAAAAAATAAGTTGTATGTATGTGTGTTTGTATGAGTATTTTATAATTTTCTTCGACTTTTTCTCGCCGTATCTGTCATTCGATTGTAATTTTATTATTATTATTATTTTTTCTATTTGTCCCTCTTTTTCTCTGTCTCGCACGTTCTCTTTGTCTGCTTCTGCTTTTCAATTTCGTTTCGTATATGACTTGCGTTAGCACTGTACAAATGCGATTTGCAATGAGTTCAAAGACATCGGTAACACTTTGCGTTTATCGTTTATATTTCTTTACCTATAAATAAAAAGGGAATAAATGCCAAATTCGAAAATAGAAATGATACCAGTTGGTTTCTTGAATGGAAAACTAACGGAGAAAGCGTTTAGCATTCTCTCTTTCTCTGTCACTCGCTCTCTTTTTCGCACACATTGATTCTCTTATTCGGAATTCTATTCGAACAATACATATATAAAGAGATATAGATAGATTCACGTATTGGAATATATATATTTTTTTTATACAGAAAGTGAGAGAGGGAGTCCTGTACCGCTCGACAGCGGGAGATATTAATTATTGAAAATGATTATGTGAATTGGATTCAAAGCAATCGCAAAATGTTCGTGATTTAACTTTTAATTCTTCAATTATTTTCTTTTTTTTTTTTCTTCAAAATTATGAACGGTCGTTGATTCTGCACAATTAGTTAATCTAATTATGATATCAACAAAGAACTAGATCACTCAATTCATTTTCGGTTTTGGCACTATTACTCCTCAAACAAATAAAACTGATTTTCTATTCCTATCTCTAAAGCGGAACAACAGTACTACAACGGTAGCACCATAGCTATAAAAAGAAAATTGCGAGTTCAAGCTTCTTTCTATGAACGGTGTATGTTAGGTATTCTTTATTGTTTATTTTTTTGCTCTTTGCTTTAATTTTCTTGTTGTGTTTTTTTCTTCTTCATTTGTTAAATGAGTTGTTTGTTATACACTAAATTTGTGAATTGTTTTGAATTAACGATTTAATGTTTATGCGAAAAAATGTGTTTAAGTTGAATTTTTTTTAGTGCGTGTGTTAAATTTTCTCTTTTTGCTTTGAAAAATGGTGAAATTTATTGGTGCTTTCTCTTTGAATTGCTGAGCCTATAACTACGAACATCCGTACAGACCGATTTTTTTCTCAGACTAGCAGAAATACTGGGCGGGACACATAAAATACGAAAAAGCACAATTTTCTTTACGTTTGGCCAGAACGCTAAATTTCGATTGAGAAAAATGCGTCAGACGCATGCGCCACAACCCCTAAACTAAAATGTACACGGTATGGATTCTCGTCGACGTCGTCGTCGTCGTCGTTGTACGCCGTTACCGTTGTCGTTCAAAACATACACCGAGTTTTCAACAAAATTCAAAGCGTTTCTTTTTCTGCCTGTGTATTCTTTTTCTATTGCCTTTCTATTGCGCCACACTGTGTGGACCCGCTTTGAAAGCACACATTTAAACAGATGGAATACGGCAATAAAGCGTCGATGTTCGCTCCTAAGAATACACAAAGAACCGTTCCAAAATCACGAACACTTGCAAAAAAGCTTACAGCAGCTAGAGCGCAAGCAGCGACAACAGCAACAACAACCAGTATATTGGAACTCTTGAAAAGAAAACATACGCTATTCGAATGCGAGATAGGAAGCTGATTCTCACTCTTCGAGATTTTGACAGTGTGTTATGTGTGCTTTTTTTCGATCGGTGTTTGCTTTTTCTTCTTTTGTTGGTTTTGCCACTTTGCACGCGACAACACAATACGGGTACACTTGTAAATTGAGTCTGTTTCCACAAATATGCGTAGCTACATACACACACACACACACACACATACAAACTCTCACACGCACAGCAACTCATCGCCTGACATATTATACATGTGCGTGTGCGTGTATTGGCTCTGAAATGTTTGCAGAAAAAAAATTCGGCCGAGATTTCCAGCCAATGGTAGTGTGCGGGTTGCTTTGTACAAAACACACACAAAATCTTTGTGTCGCAAATGACGAAAACAGTAATAGCAATCATAAAACCAGCCATTGATCTTCTACTAGTTTGAATGCGAAACTTTATTGTTGTTGTTTTTCTTCTTTCCTTATCTTAAGACACACAAAAAGAAAGGATGGGGGGGAGAGAGAGAAAATAATAACAAGTAAATCAAAATGGTTCACCATTCGCTCAAGAGAAATTTCCTGATTTTATTTTGCCATTTTTACCCTTTAGTGTTGATTTGGCATTATTAATCTAAAGCATGTGCGCGCTGATGGCCAAAAGCTCAGTATGCACACGAATATATACAGATGTTTTTGGGCGGCAGAAATACGCACATATGAAACTTGTTTGCCGTAAAAGTGGATTTTTTTCTGTCGTTCCCTTTGGTTTTCCTCTATAATTTCACATGAATGATGTTGTTGAGTGTGAAAGAAATGGAGTGTTTGAAGCTTAACCGGCTGAACAAACGAGAACATAACCTTTGACGATTGAATTGTGTATCGTAGATATCTCACACAGTTTACACGATGACTTTGTCAAATCCTTCATATTAATGCAAATGGCATCGGTAAGGATTTGGCGAACGCTACCATTATTAATATTTTTCGGTGAAAACGAGATAGACAGGAAAAGA